CCCCTATCAATTGACAATAACCTGTTTTGGAAATCCGCTTACCAATGAGTGAGAAACTCAATAAACAGCTCTGCCTAAGTGATTCAGTGTAAGAATTTTCCTCCCACAGGGAAAGTTGACAGGGTGGGTTAGGATAAACACAGTTAAGAACGTAGTATCACAATGGACCATTTGCATTGTAGACTAAATTTTGATCTAAACAAGTCTAGACAAAAATTTCATCACAGCCTGAAAGAGCATCACAAAATTAGTAATATTCCAAAGTTTCGTTGCGAAATGTTGTAAAATGCGGATAATATAGCCTTGCGAAATTTGCAATTTTCAGTCATTTTGTATTACAAACGGGAAATGATGCCCCAACACCCGATTGGGCTGCCAATTTCCCGTGCGTAATACAAAATGACTGAAAAACGGCAAATTTCGCAAGGCTATATTATCCGCATTTTACAACATTTCGCAACCAAACTTTGGAATATTACTAATTTTGTGATGCTCTTTCAAGCTGTGATGAAATTTTTGTCTAGATCAAAATTTAGTCTATAATGCAAATGGTCCATTGTTGTAAAGATAAAATAATCCAGGTTCAGTAAGTAATTAGTAGGTAAGCGTAATACTTGATGTGAAGCGCATTTGATCATATCCACATATGAATTTCCGCTATAGAAATAATCCCAAGTTTATTTTACATTTAAAAAATCTGAATTGAAGAAAATCGTACAAGAAGATATATATTAAGCCTTTTCATTTCTTAGGAAGCCATAAATGATGTTGACTTAATCCTGGGTACGACTGAAGAGAATCTTAAACAACTTCGCGATGGAAAGACGCCTCAACTTCAAGCTCCGAGACCAAAAGAACTGCAAAGAATTTTGTTGGAACATCAGAGGAGTGTCTCTAAGAATGTGCGGGACAAACAGACGGAGGAACGTGACAGAACACCGGGAGATGATGGTGAGAATATCGAGGAACATCGGAGGTTAGTAGTGGTATAAGAGGACATTTTTTTCAATTTCGTGTATTTGCCATGAAAAGTGTTCGAAACCTAAAATCTTTTTGGCATTCCTCATTTCCTCTCAAAATTATTAGCTTTATTTTGTGGTTTACACAGTTAGCAACCTTCCAAAATGTATCTGGTGGTTGAGAAACACAAAATAATAGTTAAATATTTTCAATTTAAATGCAATTATCATTGATACTGTAAAACTGACTCCATATTTATACAGCAATATAAGCAAAACTTACTGAACTTCAGACATCATTTTCTCTTTGGCGTACCATCTAAAATCTGTTCATTTTTAGCATAATTTTACAGATAAAACACTGAATATACTTTTTAAGTTTGTTTGCCGCTTGAGAAACGCACAGTATCAAGAAAGAAAAAAGTTCATAAGCAAGTGGAAAAGTATATTCATATAGTTTTGAGCGCGTGTTACGTAACATACAAAAGATTCTCCTCTTAATTAACTGACTGTTGTAATTGTCTTATTAATTAAACATGTGGAAATGAAAACAAGAACCTCTTTCAAACTATGGTATCGTCAATAATAAACAGGGTCCCCACGGTCCTTGAAAATCCTGGAATGTCATTGAATTTGTTAAAAAATATCCAGGCCTGGAAAGTCCTTGGAAACTGATAAGGTCCTTGAAAGTCCTGGCATTTTTTTTCAGGAGGCTGGAAATAATTGAAGAATAAGGGACCGGTCATTATTTATGGCGGGGGTGGCACCGAAGAGAAAAGGGTTGGGTAAACAAAATTTTGAGTGAGTAAAAGGTTGGGTAAATGAAAAAGAAAACAACTCAAGGGTTGGGTAATAAAAATTTATCGTTATTTCCAAAGCATGACTCACTGAAATATTGGAGACCAAAAAGGACTGTCAACAGTCAGATGTCAATATAATATGTGAATCAGAGTCACTATCTTGATAATTTTCCGATATGTTGAGAGACAGATGGTGTCTCCAAAGAAAGTACATGTGCAGACAACATGAAACTTTAGACTGCAGAAAATTGCACAGGCAGTTATCAAGCTCATGTCACAGAAGTGGTAAAGGACATGTGTGACAACTGAACGGTAACCGTTTGTAAAGTTTTTGGCCAGGAGTGGGTATTTATTTTTTAATCGATATTTGAGGTTGGGTAATCAAATTTTTGACTTTTTAATGGTTGGGTCAGCACAATTTTTGCCACAAAAAACATTTCTCTTCGGTGCCACCCCCACCATAAATAATGACCGGTCCCTTATTACCAGATCAAGGATTATTGCCCAAATGTTTATTTTCTCCAGTTTCAATTAAAATTATGTATAACATTTGTCCAAAAGTTGTTTCGATGTCATTTTTTTTCTAATTGCATTCCTCTCCTTAAGTTTAAGAATAAAAGTTAGATGATTTTCAAAGATTTTTCCAGTTGCCAGGTCCTTGAATTTTCTGAAAAAGGTCCTTGAAAGTCCTGGAAAAGTCCTTGAATTTCATCTTCACTAAAAGGTGAGGACCCTGAATAAACCAAGAAATCTTTGTCAGAAAGCAAAATAACAAACGTACAAACATAATGAATTACCTCTTACCTATGTAATGTTTAGAATGAAGAATGAGCGAAGCAGATGGAAGGCCAACATCACCACAAGTAACAAGACCACAGCCATTACATCAACTTTCATCCACATCTGTGAACATCGACCCCCCTCCTCCTTCCCCTCGGGATGCAACAAACACTAACGACAAGACGAATCCTCAGTCGAACGACAAAAGATGACGCCATCGTATGCTGGTCATGTGACGCCATATTTGGGTAGCTATTAGTTTGTTATGTGGTGTGTCGAAAACTGAATATATTATTTTTGTACATGGTATCAAAAACCATATTTTAAGCTACGAGGTTTAAATCTTAATGGGCTAAAACGTAAAATGTTCACGTTCCTGCTGCATGGTTATTCGAAGTCGATAGTTGTAGACTTGCTGCAATGCTGTTCCAACAAGACGGCATCGCGTTGTGCTTACACTATTCGCATTTCCAGATTACCAACAGAAATCAAAACAAATTCTGCAACGCTGGCAACGGAATAGACTTGTTGCACGTCGTCTGACTGTAAATTTAATCGTGCTGGGGGGGTTTTTATTTGTGTGTGTTTGTTTATTTGTGTGTTTGTTTATTTGTGGTTTTCTATTGTTTGTTTGTTTGTTTGTTTGTTTGTTTGTTTGTTTGTTTGTTTGTTTGTTTGTTTGTTTGTTTGTTTGTTTGTTTGTTTGTTTGTTTGTTTGTTTGTTTGTTTGTTTGTTTGTTTGTTTGTGTGTTTGTGTGTTTGTGTGTTTGTGTGTTTGTGTGTTTGTGTGTTTGTGTGTTTGTTTGTTTGTTTGTTTGTTTGTTTGTTTGTTTGTTTGTTTGTTTGTTTGTTTGTTTGTTTGTTTGTTTGTTTGTTTGTTTGTTTGTTTGTTTGTTTGTTTGTTTGTTTGTGTGTGTGTTTGTTTGTGTGTGTGTGTTTGTTTGTTTGTTTGTTTGTTTGTTTGTTTGTTTGTTTGTTTGTTTGTTTGTTTGTTTGTTTGTTTGTTTGTTTGTTTGTTTGTTTGTTTGTTTGTTTGTTTGTTTGTTTGTTTGTTTGTTTGTTTGTTTGTTTGTTTGTTTTGTTTGTTTGTTTGTTTGTTTGTTTGTTTGTTTGTTTGTTTGTTTGTTTGTTTGTTTGTTTGTTTGTTTGTTTGTTTGTTTGGCTTTGTCACCTTAAGACAACGTTGTAACGTACAAATCTTTTAGTCAGGCGGCCTGGGGATTTCTTTTCATACTTTCTTTCTTTCTTACACAGGAAGTTGTTGTTACATTGATATTGTGTATATATCACTAGGAACAAAACCAGTTCATTCACACTTGTGATTGAATACAGAGCAAACATTGTTTCAGAACAAGGATGATGAAGTTGTAAAAGGTTATAAAGTGCGTTACAAAAGCTTAAATGCACGAAATTC